ACATAACATTATAATCAGTGTTACCACACCGATAGATTACCATGGTTTTGCCCCATGATTGTTTTCGATACGTGATATTTCAGTTTCTTTCAGATATTACATTGTTATTTATAAGCACGTTTTTCCGCAAGCTTGCTGCGGAAATGGCAATGCTATTTCGTACGGATTTTACGTCTGCGTGGTACATAGGGACTTTTCAACAAATAAAAAGAAATTAGTGACCTAGTGATATCTTCGAGGGTGATCTCATGTTTCTATTCGTGATATTACAAAATCCGGGATCAGATGGCAGCATTAGTAACAAAGAACAGAACGAGTGGAGCGAGCGGCTCCAGTCGATCGTTGGCCGAGACCACAGGAGGACGGTAGGATCGACGTCCACAGACTACCTCTGTACGTAACCGGGATTGGTCGATGGTTCTCGTGTAAACCCCACCTACCAGGTGGTCGTTCGAAAGTGTAGTTGTGTAGTTCCTTACGGTGAAACGACGGGCGCTGCTCTCTCTTCGTACGTATCCAATCGCGAGAAAATCTGAAATGAGACGTATCGGTGCGCTAATATGTGACGGTTGAGAGAGGACGAGGACCAGGAACGTGCGTGAGGGTGGTTTACGCGCGTGCGGGTGCTTGACCACTTTCGAAGCGTGAACGACGGAAAATCGGCGTTTAAAAAAGAAGTGGCCAAAGGTGAAGAAACAGCGTGAAGAAGAAGAAGGAAAAAAAGAAAAACGCGTCGAAGCAAAGGAGATAAAAACGTGTGTGTGCCAGAGCTACACTCGCGAGAATCCACTATTTCGGGGGAGGTTTAGATTTTTTTCTTTCGCTATCTGTCTTTCGTTCTTTAATTCTGTGTGTGCCTTTCTGCCTTCTTTTCCTCTCTTTCCGTTTCTCTCCGTATTTACTTGATTTGTTCCGAGTGAAAGTATCGGTTGCGGCGAAGTGTTTTCTCGCCGCGTAGTATGCGCCGTATTTGTATCGCGGGGTAACAAGTAAACGTACATATATACATTATATATAAAAAAAAAGTGCTTCGTGTAACCAACAAGGACGTCAGCTGTGTGCGCTTTTACGAGGGGGACGTGTGCGAGAGAGAAACCCGCTGTTGAGAGACAGAGAAATGGCGGCGCTGGTGGCAGGTGTCCAGTATGGTTTGTCGTCACACAGTACTTTTCACGAAAACAAGTCCCTGATCTTCGTGAAACTCACGGACTCGGCGCAACGTGCCATCGAGGACTTCCTCAGGAATCGAGTAAGTAAATTCCATCGTCTCTTTTCTGTATCCTCGAATTTTTCCGCGATCTTTTTCATTTCGTGAACGCACGGACTAGGAATTGGGAGTTCATATGCTGCCGTGTATACGTGCGTATGTGTTCACGTCCGTTTAGGTACACACATCTACATGCGTACTCTTCACGTCGTCACGCAACAGTCATGTGTGCGTACATGTGTCGTAATGTCGTGCCAAGGAAAGACACTCGATCGTCACTTTGCTGGCCATATGTATTTCATACGGGATTTCGTTATCATATGCCGTCAACATTATCCCTGCTTCAATTACGAAAAAATTACCTAAACGTTATTATTCGAATTATCCTGCGAGTCTTACGGCATCAGATGAAAAAGAATAAAAAATATATTAGAATTGAGCGTACGAGACCACACTAGCTCGTTTGCAGCTGCCCCAGGTTTTTCTTTCTTTCTTCTTCATGAACGGTCGAAAGGAAGATAGTACGCAATACGATTTAAAATGATTATCGAATGCCCTCTTCGCCGAAATTAATTCTCTCAGACTATATCATCGTTAGGGTGTATCCGTTTGGTTTGACAACATTACGTAATAAGGGGATTGGCAAGGCGATTCTGTTGCTAGATCCGCTACCAGATCGAGACGAAGTTTATTTTCAAATATGTACTCTTATGTTGGCGTGTGATGGATCTCGTTCAATAGCAGACATTCCTTTTTTGCAATCACGAAACTTTAAAATGGATGAATCATCATCTCTGCCAGTCACTGCAGTTGAGCATTGTGCCACGTGTTTTCTTTAGTCTCTGATCTTTCTTCGAGAATGTATTCGTCGCTTTGCCGTCATTGCAACAATTATTTCGAAATATTTTTCGCGTTTAACTGACGGACAAACAAAAGTCGTGCTTTCGTAGAGGTTATGTTTGTTTCGTCACCTGTGTCCCTGAATTTCATTAAATAACACATTATCTGCATTTCGTAAAATTTGTTTGCAAAAGTGGAAAAAAAAAAGAAATGAATAAGTACGTAGTTAAAGTTGTGAAAAAAATCGTCGTATACCGAACGATTTTTGTACCATCTCTACCAAACTCTTGGACAGGATTAGAAAGTAAAGTTGTCGAAGGGGCGTGTGCCTTTCTTCAAAACAGCATCAGTCAACGCATGCATCTAAGTTCATTTTTATATGCACGTGTTTTATAACGCGTATATGCACATGTAGAAAAAACAGTTATAGTTACATGTATGTAGGTACATGCATTGATGAGTTGCATGATATCATATGGTTATTATAAATCATCGATATGGCATTGCGCAAGAAGAAAATATGTGACCATATCTGAGCGAGTTTTCCGTGTATTTCTGCTCGCTTCTAGTTGTCCAAAATTCGTGTCTACTGACTGTTTTATTTATTCACCAATTAGTGAAAGTTTTAGCTTCATTATCACGTGATCCATACGGATTTCCCTTTTTTTAAATTCGATCGCAAAATTTTCCTATCTATACATACGTTACCGTTAGTATTGGTTATCTACAGTCGATTGTAATAGATATTTCCTTATCGTTGATTTTTAGGAATCATATTTCATTCGCTATCCTTTAAGTAAATTATACTGTATTGTATGTTTGAATTTCACATGAATGTATCTTCTATACATTTTAATTTTTCGTAATCAAAGTTTTGCTCTCTTAATATCTAATTGCTAATAAGCTGCTTGATTCCGTAACTGTTACGCAATAACACTATAATTTCATGATAATTAAATACCGTAGTACATTGGGTTTAAAAGAGATTATACTTAACTTATCTATTAATACCCTACGTTTTATCTCGAAATTATTTATTTGTTAGAATTTATAAAATAAAAAATTTGTGTCATTAGTTTTACTGCTTGTCATTCATGAATGGGTAAGTTACGTAGGGAAATAAGCATTAAAAAACGATTAGTAATGGAGAAAAAAGTAATTGTTACTTTTATAATCGAACCAAGGTTTTGCTATGAAAAACACAAGCGATCCGAAGAGTAATAAAGCGACGTGTGCAAAGAATCCGCGAAATTAGGATTGGAATGCGGCAAAGCGTTTATTCGTTCCACGTCAGGAAGCGGTTGCATTATACTTGACGGATGTCTGAAACTTTTGCGCGCGCCATGTCCTTCCGTGCGTGTAAATATTTGCTTTTGTGATATACAATGTTGTAATTTTACCGTTCCGTTTTATATCAATTGCACTGATTCTGAATAATCGGCTCAAGTCTCACTCGTACCTAGTTAAGTAATCTATATACGATCACAGTAGTTAACCCAAACGATATAAGATCACTTTATGAAAAGATAATATAATCAGAGAACAAGTTTAACATTTGAGTCGATCTAATATTCGATCAACGTTTTTGTTCAAATGCTATATAAAAGAGACTGTAATGCAAATGTATTTTAGTATGACGTGTTGGTGATACATTCTTTAAAACTTCTTTTTTTTTTAAGAAAAGCTCGTAGTACAGGGCGTGTGCCTAGGGTTGCTTAAAAAGCACCGGTAAATTCACTGATCTTCTGAGCGCTTGGACTCTCCCAGGGGCCAATTTCTCTGGGTCGAGAATATAGCATGTAAGTCCTGTAAGAAAAGAGGCATAGGGTCTCTTTGAATAGCACAGCTGTTCCTCAAAACTTGAATAACGATCCGTGGGTAGAACAGGCCGTGCACCGACGACGGCTGAAAGTTTTACAAATCCAGAATGACCGTAGTATTGATCCCGTAAACGGGATTGAAATGGCCCCTGGTCGTGCAAATAGTTAATGGGTTACTGTTCGACCAACTTTTGGGCGATTGTAATAAAACTACATTCCTACCTGTTTGAAATAATTTAAGTTACCAGAAGAGAACATTGGGGAAAACCTAATCCTATTGATGTCAACAGAACGGAACATTTATAGTATTGTCCAAGTCAGGGACGCAAAGAACAATAGGATTTTACAGAATTTGTAATTCTCGGAATTAGAGGAGGTGCGACTCATACAGGATATTTACAATTAATAGCACTTAGGCCATAGACACTAATATTGAAAAGCTTGAAGACATTCACGGATATTAAGAAGATAATAGGTAGTCTTCATTCATATTGTTGTTTAGGGCCATTAATTCTGTTATTCATGAGGTTCAAAATATGTATTAGTGATATAAAAGTACATTCGTTGTTAGTACAGTATTTTCAGAAGTAAAAAGTAAGAGGGCCTGCTCACTCTCTTTAAGTAGAGCATTTAGAAAGCGTCGATTTCGAACATTGCAAGACATTTTGTCGCGGAATACCAGGAAATTGTGGTGGTCCGTATTTCGCAACTCTGAGGAGTACGGATATATATATATATAATCTATATTTGTCTTTTTTTTTACATTTAGTTTTTGAACGTGTCCGCTATTTTGGTCGCTACCTCGATTATTATCATTCCGCATTCGCTGTTGCGTGGCGCTCGTTTTTTGTATTTCGTTCGTATTTCTCGGAATGCTTTGAACCGTTACTCACTTGAAATAGAAATCGGCCTTTCTCGACACTGTTTGAATTAAGTTTCTCCATTACAGAAAACATGATTCTTCTGCGCGTTGGATTTCAAGTAACGCTCATATGGACGTGTGATAGAAACAGTAATTTCAGTGGAAGTCGTTGTCATCGATGAAACTGATAGAATGACAAATTATAATGAAGATTATCGTGATACCTTTGATTGGTCTTGAACTTATATTACGGAAATTATTATGAAAAAATTATTATACTAATGTATCTTCCTTAGGGTGATGATGCTAAGTTTTCGACCTTTTTTTTGCATATCTATTTTAAAGTTTAACAGATTATTATAGAAAAAAAGTTGACCATTTTTTCTGACCATTAGTTTTATGCTCGTCGATCATGCATGTGATTTAAAACGTAACAATTTATTTTATATCAGTCATGGGAAAATACTGGCTATCGCGTATCTTTCTGAAATTATTACTTACGTGTTTCGCATTTGAAGTCGTTTTCGGCTTGTAGTTACATAATATAAATATTGAATACACTTTTTCGTTGTAGCTACATAATAATACTGTATGAAAGTTACGAGAACCGGGCAACATGATTTTTTCCACCAGATATACCGATTTCTTTGCAAAACTGTTTCTAAGCTCGTTTCTATCCGACTTTCCCCTATCGCTGTAGGACATCTCCGTCATCGCGAATACGCTTATCGGAGCCTGGATGAGATAATACGAACCGTGTGTCATGTCGGACGTATGTAAAGTGCGAAGTTTAATGGTAACCTGGAAATATAATGACAAGTCTCATTGCTGTGCTGGCGGCGAAGAATGAAACACACGCGTTTCTTCTCTGCGCGTGGAATCAGCGAATCGGGGGCTGGTAGGTGTCTAGAATTTAGTGGCCGGCACGCGATAATTTACGCGAAGTGAAAGTGAACGGTTGAGATGTATCTCAGGGGGAGTGCACACTTCGAGAAATAATGTCAACGGTCGAGAGAGCCTTGAAAGTGTTTTTGAATCGGGCAAACTTTTTTCGTCGATTTCGCATTTTGGAATGGCCTAGGAATTTAGAAAACCGATTCAATCTGTTCGTTCGGGATAGATAAAAATAGTATGCGAGATGAGATGATAAGGACTGATATCTAAAAAGTAATTCCTCGTTTTAATGTAATCAAACTCAAAAGACGGCATCATTGATTTAGTTAGTTATCAATTTTGGTACAATAAAATTTGGATTCGTATCTTTTAATTTTGTTGCGCCATTTTACATGCAAAGAAGAATAATGTAACGTAACTTCATTAGATCATTCATCACCATATGTGGTATGTTAATTATAAATTATTCTGAATCATTAAATAGATTAGTATAGAATCGCGATCATATTTTTTTCTTTGGTATTGTTTCTTAAACAGGTCAATGCTTCTTATCGGTTCATCGTCATCGATTGAACTCTTTCTGGTCTTACTGTACCGGATCATCGATCGTCTGTAAAAGTCGACTT